TGATCCAAAGCATACTGCAAAAGCAACCAAAGAGTTTTTTAAGGGAAAGAAGTGGAATGTTATGCAATGGCCAAGTCAATCACCTGACCTGAATCCGATTGAGCATGCATTTCACTTGCTGAAGACAAAACTGAAGGGAAAATGCCCCAAGAACAAGCAGGAACTGAAGACAGTTGCAGTAGAGGCCTGGCAGAGCATCACCAGTGATGAAACCCAGCGTCTGGTGATGTCTATGCGTTCCAGACTTCAGGCTGTAATTGACTGCAAAGGATTTGCAACCAAGTATTAAATAGTGAAGTTTTTCTTTATGATTATTATTCTGTCCCATTACTTTTGGTCCCTTAACAAGTGGGAGGCACATATGCAAACTGTTGTAATTCCTACACCGTTCCCCTGATTTGGATGTAAATACTCTCAAATTAAAGCTGACAGTCTGCAGTTAAAGCACATCTTGTTCGTTTCATTTCAAATCCATTGTGGTGGTATATAGAGCCAAAAATGTTAGAATTGTGTCGATGTTCCAATATTTATGGACCTGACTGTATGTTTTCCCCTCTCCAATCAACTTTTTAATCAAGGTACGCTGTTCTTCTGAACAATGTCTGGAACGACCCATTTTCCTCAGAATTTCAGAGAAATGCACTGTAACCAGCATGTACAACATTTGCTGCCTTCCTTCCTTAAATAAGGGCAATACTTGCCACCTGTTTTTCAAAGAATGAATGACCTCACTAATAGAACTCCACACTGCTATTATTTTGAACATGCCCCTTTCAATTAGTGATTCAATTACACCAAATCAGCAGCATGCATGTCATGACTGTTGGGTCTGTTGGATTTCTATTACTCTACTACACCTGTTAGTAAATTTGCCATGTAGAAATATCATTTCTACCAAAAACAGTGATTGATCAGGTTAGTGATGTCTGACTGCTATTATTTTGAACACAACTGTATGTGACCGCGTTTTGCGCGGGCACAAGAGCTCATTCATTTGAATGGACTCCCGTGCCCCGTGACACACAGAGAAGAAGTCCCTGCACTTCTTCTGAAAATGCAGCCGCACGGGAACTGAGGTTCCCAGTACGGTTGCATTTTCCAGTGCAGGTGGCGTGCCATTAGAACAAATGGCACCCACCCGCAGGCAGGTGGTGCAGCTGCACGGATTTTCATGCGGATCCGCAGCGGTACCACCTGCACAGATGTGAACCAAGCCTAAATGCCCAACAAGAGCACAATGGCAGACAGTGCATCCCCATGCCAAATCCAGCAAACAAGCTATACAAAAAGATGGCAACCCTCCCAATTTACAACTAGCCTTTGCAGTAAAGTGCACATGGAAGGGCTTTGCACATCACAAAAAAAAAAAATCCCAGCACACTTACCAACTAGCCTGCAGAAAAAAATAACTCTGTCTAACAAATCATGTTAAAAACAAAGGGTTTAATTGCACATATTTGCAAACATATGTGAAAGTTGCATGCAGCCAGCTAGGTCCAGCAAGATCGGTCAGGTAGAGACCTACTTTTTGTTTTGTTTCTCTTTTTTGCTTTAGGATTTTGAGTCAGTTCTGCTTGACTGTAATTTAATATTCAATTTACTCATATTACTTATTTGCTCAAATTACTTACAACTGTATTCTTAAGCACTGCAGCTAGTTTAAAACTCTCACATTACTCTTAAATTTCAGGTATTCCCATACCGAGGAGACATCACGGGTGCCTATACAGTGCATCCATCCTACAAAATCAGAGTTATCTTGTAAAAGTCCTCCTAGGTCAGGAGCCACCAATTACCTTCTATTATACCCACTGACATTAGACAGCAGTCTTAATAAATGTGATATTTTCAGCTGGTCATACAAGTCAGTCTTCTTTATCACTAATAGGATTACAGTGGTCAATTTTGTATGATATGAAAATATGACAAGGTCATCTACAGTAGAGCCCAAGGTGAACATGCCAAACGGCACCACCCAAGATGTATGAGCATTAGGTGTCAACAAAGATCCCCCCCCAAAAAAACATTGAGCACTAGTCTGCATGCATACCTCTAAGTATAAATTCCCCCTCTTCCCAGTGCAAATTCACCTCCCCCTTCTGATATCTCCCCTTCATTATTTGCCCTCATCCCTAAATCCCACAGCAGCACAAATACATCCCCCCAAAATAAAATCACCCTCCTAGCGCAAATCCTCTACCCCTCAAATTTCCCCTGCAAGTACACATCCTCTCCCCCCTACCAACACAAATCCCCCCCCCCCCCCCCTAGCACAAATACCCCCTCTCATCCCTACTGGCACAACTAACCACAAAAAAATTTCCCCTCCTAGTAAAATTCCCTACCCCCTCTACCATATAACCACTTCTAGAACAAATCCCCCCTTCTAGCACAAATCCTCTTCCCCCATCCCCCTTCCCAACACAAATTCCCCTAAATCCTATTACCCCCCCCCCCAACTTTCTCCTGCTAGAACAATTCTTACTCCCTGCTACCCCCCAAATTCTCCCGCCCAATAAAAAAATCCTCTCCCCCAAATTTCCTTGCAGTCCCCCCCCCCCACATGATACCACAGTGCCCATGGCAGCTACCCTTCCTGCCCACCCCTTGTCCCGGCCCTGTGTACCATACAGTATCTTACATATACTGTAAACTACAGTTAGTTGGCTCATTCTTGGTCAATAGTATTTGTGACCTTAGGTTATCGAGATGTTACCAATAAAATAAAAGTAAAACAAACAAATAAAAACAAATAATTAAAGTAAGTAAAAAATAAGCTGTTAATTCATTCCATCAAATGGAAGTTTGGTTTACTGGATGTTAGACGAACACTTAAAAACACTTATAGCTCCCAAAACCCATTATAGTTTATGGAAGCCAAATCTTTCACATTTTGTCTTTTTCAAGGCCAATTTGCAGGATTTTGGTAAAAAAAAGTGTATAGGTAACTGGGTAGTGCCATCAGGTACAAATACAAAAACTCTGCTGGAGTTGTTGTTTGGCATGCATGTTTTTATATGTGTATGCAATTTTTTGATCTAATAAATGTTAATGGTGGTGTCAGGAATGGACTGGCCAGCAATAGTGGGACTCACCTGCCTTGTGAGCTGCAGTACCAGGCTGGCCAGCGGGTGCTCCCAGCAATCAGAGACTCAACCTTGCAGCCAGTCAAACACCTGGAACTAATTATACTGGTGTATTTAAGGGACATTCAGACCTGCAGACTCTGCCTTGGTGTTGTGTTTTTCCTGGGCCCTGTATCTTGTTCCTGCATCCTGCATCCTGCTCCTGCTCCTGTCTTGTTGCTGACCCCGGCTTGATTCTGACCTCTGCTGACTTCTCCTGTTCTGATCCCTGGCTTGTGACCCCGACCATTCTCTGCCTGACCCCCTGTACCTACCTGCCTGTTAGTTGCTGTACCCTGCTCGTGACCTGACTATTCTCCGCTTGCTCCCCCTGTACCTACCTGCCCGATTGATATTGACCCGGCCTGCCTGATGACGCTTGCACTGTATGTACTGTTATCTGTGGGTGGTTTGGTTTGGTTCGTTTGCACTGTGTTATGTTTAGTATTGCACTGCGTTTATGTTTGTATTGTTAGTGTTAATAAATTGTTTATAACTTATCGGAAGTCTGCGTTTCCCTGCGTCAGTCACACACCTCTGGTCATACCCGGGAGCCCTGACATTACACCAAGGCCAATCCTGACCAGAAGTGGCTGCACAGGGAAGCCATCTTGGTTTGTTGATGGGAAGGATGGATCTGGATGAGGTTGCGTATTTATATCTGCTAGTGTTTGATGACAGGGAGTATGCTTATCAAACTCTGAAGGAGTATACCCGGGATGAACTGCTAGAATGTATACGGCTCGCTCATGTTCTAGTAGATCAGGGCACGGAGTTCTCTGAGGTGCATCCATTGATTGAGGTTTGTGCTGAGTTGGTTTCATCTGGTTCCCCCGAATGCAGGGATGAATTTTTGCCACCATTTAGTGCAGACCAGGTAGAGTCACTGGTATGGTTATTAGAGGATGATGTGGGTTACTTTCTGGAGCGTTATTCCACATGTTCACCACAGGTACTAAGAGACTGTATAAACGCAGTGCAGTCTTTGGTCAGACAGGCTTTGTGTAAGCTCAGCTTTGTTCAACCCATACTGCAGACATGGACAGACTTGTTACACCCAGCCTCAGTCAGCTTACAAAGACCCAGTCCTGCTTCTAATCTATCTCCTCAAAGCTCTACTCCTGTATTCCCAACAGCTCCTCCAGTTACAGCCCAGTATACTTGGCTATCTACCGCATGTCAGTACCCCTGTTCCCACTCGCTGCACCTATCCTGCCTTTAACCCTGTAAAGAAGCCCTCTGTAGTGACTATTCCTTCCCCTGTTCCATCCTCCAGCTCTTCTCTGTCTCCAGCTGCTCCATTCATTTGCAGACCTGCGTTTACTTGCAGTGCCCCAGTAGTTAAAACCAGAAAAAAGCGAAAATTCTTTCCAACCAGTACTATCCTGCCAGTATGCAAACCGGTGAGCCTGCCGTCTGAGAACCTGCCTTCCGTGGTTCAGCCTGATGCCTCTCTTCAGCCTGATGCCTCTACTCAGCCTGATGCCTGTACTCAGCCTGCAGCCCTCTACTCAGCCTGAAGCCTCTACTCAGCCTGAAGCCTCTACTCAGCCTGAAGCCTCTACTCAGCCGGATGCCTGTACTCAGCCGGATGCCTGTACTCAGCCTGATGCCTGTACTCAGCCTGAAGCCTCTCTTCAGTCTGATGCCTCCACTCAGCCTGATGCCTCTCTTCAGCCTGATGCCTCTCTTCAGCCTGATGCCTCTCTTCAGCCTGATGCCTCCACTCAGCCTGAAGCCTCTACTCAGCCTGAAGCCTCTACTCAGCCTGAAGCCTCTACTCAGCCTGAGCCTCTACTCAGCCGGATGCCTCTACTCAGCCGGATGCTTCTACCCATCATAATGATCTGATCGAGCCTGATGATCCTATTAGGCCAGTTGACTCGATGCCCGCTGTGTTGATCCAGATGATCCGGTACCTGATCCTGGTGCCCGCTGTCGTGCCAATTGACTCAGAGCCCGCTGTCGTACCTGGTGACTCGGTGCCCACTGCCTTGCCAGATGACGCGGTGCCCGCTGGCGAGCCAAATGACCTGATGCCTGGTGACCCAGTGCCCGCTGTCATACCTGGTGACCCGATGCCCGCTGTCGAGCCAGACGATCCAATGCCAGACGACTCGGTGCCCGCAGTCTTGCCAGACGACTCGGTGCCCGCAGTCTTGCCAGACGACTTGGTGCCCGCAGTCTTGCCAGATGACTCGTGCCCGCAGTCTTCCGCCAGATGACTCGGTGCCCGCAGTCTTGCCAGATGACTCGGTGCCCGCAGTTCAGCCAGTTGACTCGGTGCCCCGCAGTCTTGCCAGACGACTCGGTGCCCAGTCTTGCTCGGTCGAGACTCGGTGCCCGCAGTCTTGCCAGACGACTCGGTGCCCGTGTTCCGCCAGTTGACTCGATGCCCGCTGTTCCGCCAGTTGACTCGGTGCCCGCAGTCTTGCCAGACGACTCAGTGCCCGCAGTCTTGCCAGATGACTCGGTGCCCGCAGTCTTGCCAGACGACTCGGTGCCCGCAGTCTTGCCAGACGACTCGGTGCCCGCAGTTCCGCCAGTTGACTCGATGCCCGCTGTTCCGCAGTTGACTCGGTGCCCGCAGTCTTGCCAGACGACTCGGTGCCCGCAGTCTTGCCAGACGACTCGGTGCCCGCAGTCTTGCCAGACGACTCGGTGCCCGCAGTCTTCCGCCAGACGACTCGGTGCCCGCTGTTCCGCCAGTTGACTCGGTGCCCGCAGTCTTGCCAGACGACTCGGTGCCCGCAGTCTTGCCAGACGACTCGGTGCCCGCTGTTCCGCCAGTTGACTCGGTGCCCGCAGTCTTGCCAGACGACTCGGTGCCCGCAGTTCCGCCAGTTGACTCGATGCCCGCTGTTCCGCCAGTTGACTCGGTGCCCGCAGTCTTGCCAGACGACTCGGTGTGCCCGCAGTCTTGCCAGACGACTCTGTGCCCGCTGTTCCGCCAGACGACTCTGTGCCCGCTGTTCTGCCAGTTGACTCGATGACTGTTCCGCCAGTTGACTTGGTGCCCGCAGTCTTGCCAGACGACTCGGTGCCCGCAGTCTTGCCAGACGACTCGGTGCCCGCTGTTCCGCCAGTTGACTCGGTGCCCGCAGTCTTGCCAGACGACTCGGTGCCCGCAGTCTTGCCAGATGACTCGGTGCCCGCAGTCTTGCCAGACGACTCGGTGCCCGCAGTCTTGCCAGACGACTCGGTGCCCGCAGTTCCGCCAGACGACTCGACAGTCTTGCCAGATGACTCCCCCAGAGTTCCGCCCCCCACTGTTCCGCCAGTTGACTCGATGCCCGCTGTTCCGCCAGTTGACTCGATGCCCGCTGTTCCGCCAGTTGACTCGGTGCCCGCAGTCTTGCCAGACGACTCGGTGCCCGCAGTCTTGCCAGACGATTCGGTGCCCGCAGTCTTGCCAGACGACTCGGTGCCCGCTGCTCCGCCTGGGGGCCTGAGACCTGCCGCTCCGCCTGGGGGTCCGGCGCCCGCCGCTCCGCCTGGGGGCCCGAGACCTGTCGCCCGCCTGGGGGTCCGCCGCTCCGCCTGGGGGGCCCGAGACCTGTCGCTCCGCCTGGGGGTTCGGCGCCCGCCGCTCTGCCTGGGGGCCCGAGACCTGTCGCTCCGCCTGGGGGCCCGGCGCCCGCCGCTCCGCCTGGGGGCCCGATGCCTGTCGCCCGTCTGGGGGCACGATGCCTGTCGCCCCGTCTGGGGGCTCGATGCCTGTCGCCCCTCCTGGGGGCCCGATGCCTGTCGCCCCTCCTGGGGGCCCGGCGCCCACCGCTCCGCCTGGGGGCCCGGTGCCTGTCGCCCCGCCTGGGGGCCCGATGCCTGTCGCCCCGCCTGGGGGCCCGGTGCCTGCTGCTTCACCTGGTAATCCGATGTGCCTCTGCCCGGAGTCCAGCCCGATGTGCCTCTGCCCGGAGTCCAGCCCGATGTGCCTCTGCCCGGAGTCCAGCCCGGTGTGCCTCTGCCTGGTGTGCCGCTGCCTGGTGTGCCGCTGCCCGGAGTCCTGCCCGGTGTGCCGCTGCCCGGAGTCCTGCCCGGTGTGCCAGTCTTTGATATCCCGCCAGTTACCAGACCCGGGCGGTGGAACATTTTGCCCAGCTAGGACTGTTTGGAGCGTCCTGAGGCCGCTCCTTGAGGGGGGTGGGTACTGTCAGGAATGGACTGGCCAGCAATAGTGGGACTCACCTGCCTTGTGAGCTGCAGTACCAGGGCTGGCCAGCGGGTGCTCCCAGCAATCAGAGACTCAACCTTGCAGCCAGTCAAACACCTGGAACTAATTATACTGGTGTATTTAAGGGACATTCAGACCTGCAGACTCTGCCTTGGTGTTGTGTTTTTCCTGGGCCCTGTATCTTGTTCCTGCATCCTGCTCCTGCTCCTGTCTTGTTGCTGACCTGGCTTGATTCTGACCTCTGCTGACTTCTCCTGTTCTGATCCCTGGCTTGTGACCCCGACCATTCTCTGCCTGACTCCCTGTACCTACCTGCCTGTTAGTTGCTGTACCCTGCTCGTGACCTGACTATTCTCTGCTTGCTCCCCCTGTACCTACCTGCCCGATTGATATTGACCCGGCCTGCCTGATGACGCTTGCACTGTATGTACTGTTATCTGTGGGTGGTTTGGTTTGGTTCGTTTGCACTGTGTTATGTTTGTATTGTTAGTGTTAATAAATTGTTTATAACTTATCGGAAGTCTGCGTTTCCCTGCGTCAGTCACACACCTCTGGTCATACCCGGAAGCCCTGACAGGTGGTAATGCGCTAGGTGTTTGCACGCTTGTAGGGATATGGCCTGGATACAGTCCATGAAAAAAAGTATGTAGAATATGAAACCGGCAGAAGGTGCACTCAACGGGACTTACAATAGGAGGAATTTCTCAACATACACATTCACCGGCCACTTTATTAGGTTCACCTTGCTAGTACTAGATTAGACCCCCTTTTGCCTTCAGAACTGCCTCAATTCTTCATGGCATAGATTCAACAAGGTCTTGGAAACATTTCTCAGAAATTTTTGGTCCATATTGACATGAGTTACTCTTGCCTTTCTATCATCTCGAGCCAGCCTGCCTCCTACATTAACCAGGCATTTTCATCCACACAACTGGATATTTTCTCTTTTTCAGACCATTCTCTGTAAACCCTAGAGATGGTTGTGCATGAAAATCCCAGTAGATCAGCAGTTTTTGAAATACTCAGACCAGCCCATCTGGCATCAACAACCATGCCATGTTCAAAGTCACTTAAATTCCCTTTCTTCCCCATTCTGATGCCTGGTTTGAAATTCAGCAAGTCATGTTCACCACGTCTACATGCCTAAATTCATTGAGTTTCTGCCATGTGATTGGCTGATCAGCTACCAAGCAATTGAACAGGTGTACCTAATAAAGTGACTGGTGAGTGTATAAATTACTGTAGAAAACAAATATTAAATGCTCACCTAAAACTGCTTTCGTTTTGAGCAACTTTTAGAGGATACTCATCATAAGCATTTTATTTATTTTGTGTTGTAGAGAATATTCATACATTTTTTTTAATAATCTATAGATAACAATCAGGGGCGGACTGACAACTCATGGGGCCCCCGGGCAATAGGGGATTATGGGGCCTCTGTGTCCTTGCCCAAACTCAAAAAAGCCTATGAAAAAGGTACCAGGGGCATCTCATGGGGCCCCCTAATGGCAATGCCCGAGTTTCCAAATGGTCAGTCCGCCCCTGATAACAATGCATTCGACTGTAACTAAAATACATTCTTAACTTAAAATAAATAAATACATACTAAAAATAAATCTCCTTGATCTTTATGTCTCAGGTTGTCAATAGACTCCTGGCAAGCTGTGCTTGTAAGTGCATTGGGCAAGGACTTTTATCATAATTGACTGGGACTTATAAGTAAGCCAGACCCTTGATAATATCTTTAATCCATGAAGGATGATTGGTGAAAATGTGTTTTAACATTCACAGTAGCTTTTCTGCAAATAGATTTACTGTCTAATATGAAGACAGTTTTAAGTGAAAAACGCACTCAATAATAGATTGATAATGAAATATTGATTAACGTACCACAACTAGCATTGATTTAATGCTCTTCATGGAGAAGGAGTATTTTAAGATGCGTATTTATGCACTGACCTGATTAGTTCTCTTTACATCAGAACTATTGCATTAAGCAGATGATTCCACCAAACTTACATAGTTTTTAGTGATTTCAGTACAGTTTTTTAATTCATGAAATATCCCTCTTTTGATGTTTCCTTGTGAAAAGCACAATGCAAAATATCAAATGGATTACTGTTAAGAAAAACAGGTTTCAATGAAAATCAGTTGCATCTTAATGAATAAAAATCCATTAAGATGCAAGATGACAAGAAAAACACAATATCTTAAACCACTTGCTCTCCTGAGGATCTACTCCCACTGCGTTATTTTCATGACCAGGCCATTTTTTCTTTCTTTCGGTGGTATTTGATCGCCTGTGCATTTTTTATTTTTTGCAATATAAAAAAAAAGCTGACAATTTTTAGAAAAAAAAACTATATTTTTGACTTTTTGCTATTAAACATGTCCAGTAAAAAAAACATTCAAAAATCAGAATTCTAAAGGATGCCTTGACTGAAAAAAGGTTGAGCTCTAAGGTCTAACCATTCTCTTTTTAGCTTTACACTTTAACATGTAAACACTGACAAAGCCAAGGAAAATTACAAGAAATTCCCAGCATGCACCATTGACTCGTCATTGGCTGAAAATCTTTTCATAGCATTTAGTGTAATGACTGCTAAGTACCTGATTTGTTTGCAGTATGAGTGTAAACTTTGCAGCCCGACACCTTTTATTTTTTGTGTGCACCTAAATAATATTGATAGAGGAGGACAGAGGAGTGACCACCCACAAGGAAAAAGATACCGATGACTTCACAAGGATTCTGACAGGTAGAGTTATGAAACTCCATAGATGCATTTGTCATTTTTTTACATAATTTTACAGTGGTTATGTTATAGCTTCATTACATTTTAACAGCTAGAATAGAATAAAACAGAACTTAATAGAATACAACAGAATAAAATGAAATAGAATATAAAGGAATAGAATAGAATGAAATATAAAAGAATAGCATAGAATATATTAGAATAGAAAATAAATTAATAGACTATAATAGAATAGATTAAAATAGAATAGAATAAAATAGAACTAACATAGCCATCTTCTGAAATTCACAATTCAAATTTTGAATCAGTTTAAAAATAATGAATATACAAAACAAATCTCAATATACAAAGTAAATGCCAATATACAAAATTAATTCTGAAAACAAATCATTCTAACATAACAAATAGGATGAAACTAAATTTTTAATTTAACCACTTGCCTTCCTGAGGATTTA